CCTCCCTCCTTCCTTCCCTTCCTTCCTCTTTCTTTCTTTCTTTCTTTCTTTCTTTCTTTCTTTCTTTCTTTCTTTCTTTCTGTCTTTCTTTTTCTTTCTTTCTCCCTTCCTTCTTTCCTTCCTTCCTTCCGGGACTTGAACTCAGGGACTGGGTTATTGCTCCTGAGCTTTTGTGCTCAAGGCTAGCACTCTACCATTTGAAGTACAGCTCCATTTCTGGCTTTTTAAGAGTTAATTGGAGAGATGAGTCTCATGGACTTTGCTGCCTGGACTGGCTTTGAACTGTGCAATCCTTAGGTCTCAGCCTCCTGAGTAGGTAGGATTACAGGCATGAGCCACAGGTGCCCAGCTTGTTTTCTGATTTTTTTTTAATGTAGATCATTTTGTATATGTAATTTTTAATCCTTTTTTTCATTCTAATATTTTTATCTAACAATTTTCTTGTTATCAAATAACACTTACTAGTAGATCTAATGTTTGATATATGTTGTATTGACAAAATTTTTCGATATAAAGCCAGGCGCCAGTGGCTCACGCCTGTACTCCTAGCTACTCAGGAGGCTGAGATCTGAGGACCATGGTTCAAAGCCAGCCTGGGCAAGAAGGTCCATGAGACTCTAATCTCCAATTAACCACTAGAAAACCGGAAGTGGCTCTGTGGCTCAAGTGGTAGAGCACTCACCTTGAGCTGAAGAGCTGAGGGACAGCGCCCAGGCCCAGAGCTCAAGCTCCCCCCCCCCAAAAAAAATTTTTTTTAATACAACTTGATTGGGTAAAACCTTCTGAATGTTTTATCTAACTGTTCTCAGAGCATTACTTATAAGCAAGAGAAATTGAATCTTAAAAATTCAGTCTTAAAAATTGGGATAAAGCCAGCACTGGTGGTTCGCATCTGTAGTCCTAGCTACTCAGGAGGCTGACATCTGAGGATCGCAGTTTGAAGCCAGTCCAGGCAGGAAAGGCCAGACTCTGACCTCCAATTAACCAGCAAAAAAGCAGGAAATGGAGCACCAACCTTGAGCACTAAAGATCAGGAACAGTGCCCAAGCCCTAAGTTAAAGCCCCAGACCCACCACAACACCCCTACCTGACAACAACTAAAACAACTATATTTCCTTTAAAATACAATTCAGTAAATGGACCTATAACAAATCATGTTAAGTGAGATAAGCCAAACTTAGAGACACAAACAGTGTGTGTTTTTTCTCATATGCAGATGCTAGATCTAAAATACATCAGGACATGATGAATTTTTCAGGACTCTAGACATTCACAGACAGTGAGACCAAAGGAGGCTATTCTTAGGAGTGGATCACAAAGGCAGAGTGCTATGTGTATATGATCATAAAAAATAAATTTATTGAAATAAACTCCAGGAAATGGAAACAAGGTTTTTTTCTTTGTTGTTTTTGTTTTCTTTTTTGTCTTGTTTGTTCATTTATCTGTCTTTGGGAGGGTAAGGGGGACACAGAAATGGAGAGACAAAGGGTGAATAAATGCAGCAGTGGTACTCACTAGATACTGTGTTGAAAGTGAACTATGTAACTTGTGGGTAGGGATGGAAGGGAAAAACTGGGAGAGAATGAGGGAAGGGGTGCCATTGTCCAAAAAGAAATGTACTCATTCCTGACTTATGTAACCAAAACCTTTTTGTACATCACCTTTATAATAAAAAATAAGTAAATTAGGGGCTGGGAAAGTGGCTCAGTGGTAGAGCACTTGCCTTGCATGCCTGAGGCCCTGGGTTCGATTCCTCAGCACCACATAAGCAAAAAGAAAAAAGCCGGAAGTGGCACTGTGGCTCAAGTGGTAGAGTGCTAGCCTTGAGCTGAAGAGCTGAGGGACAACGCCCAGGCCCAGAGTTCAGGCCCCACAACCGGACCCCCCCTCCCAAAAAAACAAAAAAGTAAATTGGAAAAATATTTCAGGCTCTTCGTTAAGTCAGGCTTGTCACTTTATCCCTTCATCCATTTAAAAGACTATAAAGGATTGCCAGGTACCAGTGGCTCACGCCTGTAATCCTGGCTACATTGGAGGCTGAGATCTGAGAGGATCATTGTTCAAAGTCCCCACGAGACTCACCTCCAATTAACCACTAAAAACCGGAAGTAAAGCTGTGGTACAAAGTGGTGGAGTGCTAGCCTTGAGCAAAACAACTCACGGACATTGGACATTGCCGTGAGATCAATCCCTATGACTAAAAAAAAAAAAGCTAATAGTCATTGTATATTTTATACACTTAGCTTTATGTTCTTGGCCACTGGGCCCTTGAACATGTATCTGTTAGCAACAAGCACATTCTCTTACATTCTGTTTTATTTTGTTTTTGTTGGTCGTGGGGCTTGAAGTTGGCCTGGGTGCTGTCCCTCAGCTCTTCAGCTCAAGGCCAGTACTCTACCACTTGAACCACAGCACCACTTCTGGTTTTCTGGTGGTTAATTGGAGATTAGAGTCTCACAGACTTTTCCTGCCTGGGCTGGCTTTGAGCCATGATCCTCAGATCTCAGCCTCCTGAATAGCTAGGAGTACAGGTGTGAGCCACCAGTGCCCAGCTTCAGAACTATAGGGTTTTTGGTTTTTGTTTTGTTTTGTTTTGGGTCCAGTCGTGGGGCCTGAACTCTGGGCCTGGGCGCTGTCCCTCAGCTCTTCAGCTCAAGGCTAGCACTCTACCACTTGAGCCACAGCGACACTTCCAGCTTTTTTTTTCTGCTTATGTGGTGCTGAGGAATCGAACCCAGGGCCTCATGCATGCAAGGCAAGTGCTCTACCACTGAGCCACCTTCCCAGCCCTACAGGGTTTTTTGTTTGTTTGTTTTTTGTTGGTCATGTGGCTTGAACTCTGGGCTGGACGCTCTCCCTTAGCTCTTCAGCTCAAGGCCAGCACTCTACCACTTGAGCCACAGCACCACTTCTGGTTTTCTGGTAGTTTATTGGAGATTAGAGTGTCACGGACTTTCTTGCACAGCCTGGCTTTGAACCGTGATCCTCAGATCTCAGCCTCCTGAGTAGCTAGGATTACAGGAGTGAGCAGTGAGTGGCAGAACTATAGTTTTAACTATCAGATTTAGCACATTTAGCATGGCTATATTATTTTAGTACCTAAAAGGCAGATCATATTCAAATTTTAATAATAGGCCCAATTATATATTTTATTTATTATTATCTGTTTCTTAGTTTTACTTTTTTTGCCAGTCCTGGGACTTGAACCCAGGATCTGGATACTGACCCTGGGCTTCTTTTGCTCAAGGCTTACACTCTACTACTTGAGCCACAGCACTACTTCTGGCTTTTTCCTGTTTATGTGGTACTGAGGAATTGAACCCAGGGCTTCATGCATGCTAGGCAAGTACTTTACCACCAAGCCATCTTCCTAGCCCCTCTTATTTTTATTTTTTTTTGCAGAACCATACTTGCTGGGCAAACAAGCATTGAACAATACCTTACACTGTCAATTTGGTCTACAGAACTTTTTTCCTAGGCTCAGTGTCCTGCCCAGCATATCTGGCTGTCCTGACTCCAGACTCCAATGTGGAAGCTTTTGAACTCTTAAAAAAAAAAAATCAGACTATCTCTTGACAGCCTGGCTATTCTACCAGGTGAAAGAAAGCCTTGTTGGGGAACAGGAAGATAGTTCACCCCATCCATGGCCTGTGTTCCTCAGGAGCCTGGACAGTGACCTAGCTGCTACTCTCTTAAAAAATGACCCATGGACTATGCCTCTGTGTGTGTGTGTGTGTGTGTGTGTGTGTGTGTGTGTGTGTGTTCTAGGGCTTGAACTCAGAACCTAGTTCAAGGCTAGTGCTCTATCAGCTGAGCCACAGCTTTCTGATAGTTAATTGAAGATAAGAGCCTCATAGACTTTCCTGCTTAGGCTTGCTTTGAAGCACAATCCTCAGATCTCTCAGCCTCCTGAGTAGCTAGGATTGTAGGTATGAGTCACCAGCACCAGATGGACTATGCATTATTGTGGCTGTTACTGAGAACTTTTGCTGAAAACAATGCAGGTATAAATAGCTTATGATCAAGATCATCACTTTCTGTGTGTTAAAGCTGGTATCTGTCACTAGAGTGCAACTTCTAGTTCTTTTTGTTCATAGTCAACAATGTATTTTATTTTATAACACCTAAATTTTATATATGCTTTTAAAGCTTCAATCAACAGTTCAGTACAAAATAAAAAATATATGTCTATACAGCAGTGGTTCTCAGGCACAGAATTGAGGGGGTGGCTGGAGCAAGGTTTTGGTTTTTTTTTGATCCTGGCATATAATGCCTATTGTGAACCATGATAGTGGAACATACCCTTCTACATAGCTGCCTTCTTGACTGGCTTTTATTTGCTGTAAAACAATGAATGAGAGTTGAAATCAGTATATGTTCTTGAAGTCTTTTAGACCTGTCTACTTCTCCTAATAGAGCTCCCATGTCAGCCACTGAAAACACATACAATACAAATTCTATGGAACATCTGCCTAAGAACTACTGCCTAGCGTTATTCTATGTCCTCAGACCTTACAGGATAAGGCAATGATATGATGATCTCAGTATCCCTAGAAAGTGCCTTCCTCTTATCGTACGCTTCCTCATCAGGCTCCCCATTGCTGGCTGAATAGTACTCTATGATTGTCCTGTGCACGCTGTAGCTCAGTCACTTATACATGTTAACTGCAAGTTGGTTTAGACACTTGTACGAAAAAATCAACAAAAAAATCCACCCTTTCTTTCTGAAATGTAATAACTCCGTAAGTTTAGCAGCCAAACCAAGGTGTTGAAATTCAAGGACAACAGACAAAGCTGTAACATGTCCATGCCATTCTTTTCTAGCGACTGAGTCTTTTGTATAACCCATTAATTCTCCACCAGGTGCCTCAGCAACAATGAAATACTCTGACCAGTGGGGAAGATACTGTAGGTAAAAAGGAATCGCATACGTTTCTGTAAGAAGATCCAAGTTAATGTTGCTGAACAGAACAGGTCGTCGCAAGTGGAGGCTGCAGCCCTGTGCCAGCTCACCACGACCCCATGCCTGCACCAACTTCTAGTTCTTTCTCAATGATTAAATACATTTTGGTTTCTGTCTCCATTTAGTCTCAAAGAAGATGGAGCCGGAACCCCCTATGACAAGGAGTCAACAGCCATTATAAAGCTGAACAATACAACAGTTCTTTATTTAAAGGAGGTCACCAAGTTCCTGGCTCTCGTTTGCTTTGTCAGAGAGGAAAGCTTTGAAAGAAAAGGTAAATTTTTTTTTTAGTGTAATTTTAAAGAATCACTTTAATTCATACTACCTTTGTTACTTTGTTGCTTTCTTGTGGGTGTTCAGTGGCATGCCCTGGAAGTTTCCAGAATGTAGTCATAGGCCACTTCCTTGATTAGTAGGCCTGTGGCAGGCCAGACTGTGAATGGTTTCTAGGCCAGTGAACTTGTTGGCTCCCAATGGCGCCCTCTGGTGGCGATAAAATGGAGCCAACCCCCTGCCAGATCATCCGGCAGGTGAAGCCAGTGGTGGCAGTTGCCAGGCTATCTCTGAGCAGGGAGCGGTCTCCTCTGCCTGCATTGAGGTGAAGGCTCATCTCCTGGTCTACACTTCTAGAGGGTCAAAGACTCTCCCTGCATTAGAGATAGGTAGTATTTGACTTCCCACCATCCTTCTCCCACTTAAAGCTTCCAAACCACAGGGATGAAGTCATGATTACAAAAAAGGGAAGGCATGTATTTAATAACATCACTAAATGTCTTTTTAGGAGCAACTTCAGTTTTACTTTACAATAAAAGCAATGAACCTCAATTTTAAACTGAGAAATGTAAGCTTACCAATGCACCTAGGAAAAAGAGAGAGAGAGAAAGAGAGAGAGAGAGTGTGTGTCAGTCCTGGAGCTTGAACTCAGGGCCTGGGTGCTGTCCCTGAGGTTTTTGAGCCACAGTGCCATTTCCAGTTTTCTGGTGGTTAATTGGAGGTAAGAGTCTCGTGGACTTTCCTGCCTGGGCTGGCTTTGAACTGCAATCCTCAGATCTCAGACTCAGAGTAGCTAAGATTTACAGCCGTTGGTGCCCGGCTCCTGGGAATTTTATTAGTGACTATGGTGTGGTTTGCTAATTCACTGGTAAGTTGCCAACTGGGCTAGCAATTCAGCTCAGTGGTACAGCACTTGCCTGTCATGCATGAGGACCTGGATTGATCCCCAGCACCACACATACACCCCAACACAATGGCAATGGTACCATTTGCTGAAATAGCTGTCTTTATTTCCTCATAAACAATGCATGTTCTAAAAACTGCTTTGAAAGTTTAGGAAAATATAAGGAATAAATAAACCACTTATTTTTTAGAACCAAACCTCATGTTAAACTCCTGAGATTTTCTTTTTGTGTGTGTGTGTCGGTCATGGGGCTTGAACTCTGGGCTTGGGTGCTATCCCTGTGCTCTTCAGCTCAAGGCGGGCGCTCTACTGCTTGAGCCACAATGCCACTTCTGGGTTTCTAGTATTTTATTGGCGATAAGAGTCTCATGGAGTTTCCTGCCCAGGGTGGCTTTGAACTGTGATCCTCAGATCTCAGCCTCCCAATTAGCTAGGATTACAGGCATGAGCCACCAGTGCCCGGCACTCCTGAGATTTTCTTCACCCTCTTTTCCTCTCCTTCCATTGTCCCTCCCCACCCCCACATCCTCGCTTTTTTTTTACGCTTTCAATAAAACAGGGTTTTTGTTGTTGTTGTTGTTTCTAGTCAGTCCTGGGGCCTGAACTCAGGTTTTGGGTGCTGTCCCTGAGCACTTTTGCTCAAGGCTAGCACTCTACCACTTTGAGTCACAGCTCTACTTCTAGTTTTCTGGAGGTTAATTGGAATATGAGTGTCACAGACTGGCTTTGAACTGTGATCCTCAGATCTCAGCCTCTTGAGTAGCTAGGACTATAGGCATGAACCACCGCTGCCCAGTTCCATATCATTGTGTGTGTGTGTGTGTGTGTGTGTTTGCCAGTCCTGGGGCTTGAACTCAGAGCCTAGGTGCTGTCCCTGAGCTTCTTTTGCTCAAGGCTAGCACTCCACTTCTAGCTTTTTCTGTTTATGTGGTACTGAGGAATCAAACCCAGGACGTCATGCATGCTAGGCAAGCATTCTACCACTGAGCTCTCCATATAGTTTTATAACTTATTGTTTCAACCCATGTATACTTTTGAAGATTGATAGGGGATTGGAGGTGTGGTTCAAGTGTTAGACTGCTAGCCTCGAGTGAAAAAGGCAAGGGACATTATAGGTTTTAACCCAGTATCAGCATAGGAAAGAGGTTGGGAGGGAGGGAGAAGACCAAGACAAGAGTATTGTTAGTTCAAGCCAACTTGAGTCTGGAGTGTTTTGGGTTTTGTTCTTGTTGTTGTTTGTTTTGTTTTTGTCAGTCATGAGGCTTGAGCTTCTTTTACTCAAGGCTAGCACTCTACCACTTGAGCCATAGCACCACTTGTGGCCTTTTCTGTTTATGTTGTACTGAGGAATCGAACCCAGGACTTCATGCATGCTAGGCAAGCACTCTACCACTAAGCCACATTCCCAGCTCTAGGCCAGTTAAAAATGGAAAATAGAACCAACCACCTTATCCTCGTTTAGTGTAAAGAAAATTTTTCCTTAGCTCTTTAAAGGTTAAAAGTTAAAGGAGGGAACCAGTTGCTGGTGGCTCACGCCTGTAATCCAAGCTACTCAGGAGGCTGAGAACTGAGGATCGTGGTTCAAAACCAGCCTGGGCAGGAGAGGCTGTGAAACTCTTATCTCCAATAAACCACCAGAAAACCGGAAGTGGTACTGTGTCTCTGATAAAACAAGAAGATAATCACCCCATGATTTCTCCACTTAAAATTTACTTAATATTGAGGGCTGGGAAGGTGGCTCAGTGGTAGAGCGCTTGCCTTGCATGCATGAGGCCCTGGGTTCAATTCCTCAGCACCACATAAGCAGGAAAAAAAAGCCGGAAGTGGCGCTGTGGCTCACAAGTGGTAGAGCGCTAGCCTTGAGCTGAAGAGCCCAGGCCCAGAGTTCAGGCCCCACAACCAGACCCCCCCCCCCAAAAAAAAAAAAGAATCAGGGATTTTAGATTCCCTAAGATTTATGAGAGTAGTTTAAATGTGTTGGAGATATTTAGTAGCTCACTGATACTAGAACTCTCCCACATTCACAAGTCAGGATCTGCCTCCCTTCAGCGTAATGCTCTCTGTAAGGCACATTTTTCATTGTGTGTGTATGTGTGCATGTGTGCATGTGTACCAAGACCAGAGCTTGAATTCAGGGCCTCATGCTATTGCTTAGTGTTTTCGCTCAAGGCCAGTGCTCTACCACTTAATCCACAGCTTTGCTTAAGTTTTGCTTTTTTGTTTTTGTCAGTCATGGGGCTTGAACTCTGGGCCTGGGCACTGTCCCTTAGCTATTCAGTTCAAGGCTAGTGCTCTACCACTTGAGCCACAGCGCCACTTCCGATTTTCTGGTGGTTTATTGGAAATAAGAGTCAAGTGGAGCCTGGCGCTGGTGGCTTATGCCTGTAATCCTAGCTACTCAGGAGGCTGAGATCTGAGGGTTGCGGTTCAAAGCCAGCCCTGTCAAGAAACTCCATGAGACTCTTATCTTCAATAAACCACTCAGAAGTGGTGCTGTGGCTCAAGTGGTAGAGCGCCAACCTTGAGCTGAAGAGCTGAGGGACAGTGCCCAGGTCAAGTTCAAGCCCCACAACCGACAAAAACAAAAGGTCTCATGGACTTTCCTGCTTGGGCTGGTTTTGAACAGCGATCCTCAGATCTCAGCCTCCTGAATAGCTAGGATTACAGGGGTGAGCCACTGGTGCCAGGCAAAGTTTTGCTTGTTAATTAGAGATAAGGCGGTCAGGCGTTTTTCTGCTGGGGCTGGCTTTGAACCACAATTCTCAGATCCCAGCTGCTTGAAATGCTAGGATTACAGGCATGAGCCACCAGTACCCAGTTTATTGTTGACTTTTGAGACCGAATCTTGCTCTGCAGCCCAGGCTGGCCTGGAACCTGAATTCTCCCTGCCTCAGCCTCCTAAGTGCTGGAATTATGAGCATGTACCACCAATGATCAGCTGACTTATCTTCACTGTAAATTAATCTTTAAATTCTGAAAGGTGAAAACACTGTGCAGGCCAGGTACTGGTGGCTTTCACCTGTAATCCTAGCTACTCAGAAGGCTGAGATCTGAGGATCACAGTTCAAAGCCAGCCCCGGCAAGAAAGTCCAGGAGATTCTTATCTCCAGTTAACCACCAGAAAACTGGAAGTGGTGTTGTGGCTCAAGTGGTAGAGTGCTCACCTTGAGCTGAAGAGCTGAGGGACAGTGTGCTCAGGCCCAGAGTTCAAGCCCCCTGACCAACAAAAAATAAACAAAAAACCACTGTGCAGTTCAATGGTTCTTCCCATCCTTTGGGTCATAGAAACTTTTCAGTCTAATGTGCATTCTAGAAACTTTCGTCAGGAACCACCTACCTTTATGAGCTTCCAGTAGTTTTATCATAGTGTCTTGAGTCCAGCCACAAGCCTTCCCAAGCCCTTTTGGTTGATGGCTGCTCCTCTGTCGCCCCCTACTGACCTGAAAAGATAAACTTATTTCTATGTAATACTGACGACGATTTTTATTCTCCAGGGCTTATCGACTATAATTTTCATTGCTTCCGGAAGGCCATCCATGAAGTTTTTGAGGTGAGGATGAAAGTAGTAAAATCTCGGAAAGTTCAGAATCGGCTACAGAAAAAAAAAGGAGCCACCCCTAATGGGACACCTCGTGTGCTAATGTAGAGGTTTTGGAAATACCTTTTGAAATCAGATCTTTTAGCCAAGGCTGCTATACTGTGTCACTAAGTGGAAGGAGGAGACTGGGACATTTGACATGACTTTGTTGTTAAAACATAATTACTCCAATTCTCTCAATCTTCTGTTTTGTTTTGTTTTTGTTTCTGTTTTTTTAAATAAAGCACTTTGAAGCAAAAACTTGTATAGTAACTATAAAGTGACACCCACTGTATCTTCCTGCTACAAATGTAAACTTGTTTGAAGAGTGTGCACACTGCCAGGAACTGTACATATTTTGCACTTTTTTCATGGTTTTTCCTCATTGAACTGAACTTTGATAAGATGACTTTTGTAAGCTCTTTTCTGTACTTGGTGTGTAGGACACGGATACTGTAGTCTGTCCGTCTAGTAGTCAGAAATCAATCAAACATGCATTGCTAATGGCTTTTTTTGTTTTGTAAATCGGAGTATCTTTGCTACTAATGATTGAGCAAATCATTTTTTTTCAGTGGATCTGGAGCAGATGGGAGCTAGACGTTCCTAAAGCAATAAGAGCCATCCCCCATTTCTAACAGGTATCAGGACTTTTATAGACAAATATTAGCCCCCAACTTACCTAGAACTGTCTATCCCTGTGGCCGCATTTCCCTCTCCAACAGTGTATATGATGCTTTTTGCCTTGACACACATCCCGCCACTTACTTTATGCAAGAGGTGATTTCTCTTTGCTAAATTGTTATTCTTTAGAACCTTTGGGACCAGATTTCCAAAATGGTGCCTATCACTGGAGAGTGATCCAGATGTTGCTGAGGCAGGGATTCTGAGGTTCTCCTGTAATTACCACTTAGGGCTAAAATACAAAGGCCAAATCGTTTCTCAAATGGAGCTGTTGGCCAGTTCTGTAACTCTGGGCTCCTTCCAGTGGCCTATGTTGTGCTACATTTACAATCTTTAGGACCAGTCTTTCACTGTTTCGTGACCGTAGTGACTGGAGGGTCCCATACATGTCCTCCCCTCGCACCCATGGAGGGGCTCCTACTGGTTCCATCCTCCACCTGAGTCACCTTTTCACCCCTGGTACTGTGCCGGGAGTCCTATGCCTAGTCCCCCCTTAGGACTGACTTCAGTTTGCTCCCAGCATGCTGTGCAAGGCTGAGGAGCCATCCAAAAGCCTCCTAACCACCAGTGGGTGGCTGGAAGAAGCAGTATCTGTGTTATGTATTTGTTTCTAGAAAGTTCTTTCACTCGGGCCTGGGAATGTGGCTCTGCATGCATGGAGCCCTGGGTTCGATTCCTCAATACCACATAAACAGAAAAGGCCAGAAGTGGCACTGTGGCTCAAGTGGTAGAGTGCTAGTTTTGAGCCAGAAAAGTTCAGGGACTAGTGCTCAGGCCCTGAGTTTAAGCGCCAGGACTGGGCCCCCCCCCAAAAAAAAAAAAAAAGAAAGAAATTTCACTTGTGTTTACCTTGAGAGTCCTAAATCCAGTCCTGTTCCAAACTATTCCATGTATATATTTCCATCTCAAAGGCAGCATTCTGATATGTTGTGGAACATTAGGGGAAAAAATACATATTTTAAATTCAGAGCCTCTTAGAGCCATCAAAGCTGACCCTAGCAAAATGTATAAAGTCCTTAAAGCAAATTGTTCACAAAAATGCCTCCACTTCTTTCCTCCTCCCCAAGTCCTATTCCTTTGAAAATAATAACTGAAATTGAGTTAGTGGCTGACTGGGACCTAAGATTTGAGCTTCCCAAGGATCTGTGCATTTTAAAAGGAAAAATTTTGAAATCATTAAGGTTCCTTAGCTTCTTCCCTCACTCAAAACCCTGAGGAGGGCGGGGGGGGGCAGGGGGGGGGGGGGGGGGGG